CTTAAGAAAAAATCACATGGTTATCTCCTTATACTCAAAATGTCTTTGAAAAATACAGCTATTCCTTACTGAAGTTTTAAAACATGCAGAAATGGCTTTTCATAATATGATGAGTTATGTAAATACATCACCATATGAATGCCAATAGCTTACTGAAGAAATAAAAAGTTACTTCCACTAAAGTCGAGAAAAAAATCAAAGATGATAACTACCTGCACTATTTAATATTGTCTTGAATGAACATCCAATGACAACACAAGACAAATTATGAAAATTAACATTGGAAATTATTTCTAATTGTAGATGATATGATAGAAACTCCTAGATATCATGGTAAAATACTCAAAATTCAGTGATGAGGCTCTGGAAAAAATAAATAATAAAATATTTTTAAAAGGTTGAAGAGTGTAAGATTAACCTATGAAAATCAACAGCCTTCATAAAATCAAATGATAGCTAGATCCCATAATGCTTCACTTTGAACAGGTTCAGTGGTCAAAAATAGGTATTTGCCAGATTCATATACACAATTCTATTTTAACTAATCCCCTAAGATACTTGATAAAATCCAACTGACTCTTGTGCTTGCCTCTCATTATTTCACACCTTCCTCAGTGTAATTATTTCTGGCTAATGGACTCCTGCTGAGTTCAGTTTTAGAGTCTCAGAGACAAGAATCGCTAAACTTACATTGGCAATGATTTTGACTGAGTGACTCTCTGGACACAATAAATTCATCCTTATAGCATTCAGAGGTTCATAACTTTGTAGACTATTTCTTAACTATTTCAAATACATACATACAAAAAGACTCTTCCATTAGTGAAAGACTACAGGGTCAACCCTGAGAAATGTTCTGACTCTGCTCACTTAGCAGATTTTCTCAAGTGTATGGAAACGTTATCCCAGCCTCAGTGTGAGATTGTTCATGTTCAAATTTTCCCAAGATGCATCTTGCTATCCTTTACAGAATAGCAAACCCACAGCCAGGGTAAGTTCTAGGGATAATATTTTTAGAATTTGTTTCTGATCTCTTGCTCTACTTCCCTATATATGTATTTTAAATATATTGATACTGAGTATTAGTTTATTATGCTTGCCAGGTAGGTTTTGTCAACTTGATTCATTTAACTGGTTCACGCTGAAGTATTAGGAAGTATGTATGCCTCATCAAGGAAATCTTTTATTTTAAAAAATATATGCATAATAATATCTAAACTGAATATTAGGAATTCCTTAGGGGCAGATTTGAAGCTGGATTTTTTAGATGCCCTTGTATCACATTGTACATAGATGTCCTCTTTGTAAATAAAAAGCTCATTTATGATGTGTGGGTATTTACTGGACATGTGTTTTTACTAGAGATCTATTGATCCCTACATATTGTTCAATATTGTACACATATGTATATGTGAATGTATCTTTTGGAAAGGAGACATAGACCTCCATTTTTATTAGGTTGTTAAAAACCAATGTATTATGACATTATGAAATCAATACAATTATAATGCATAATAAAAGTAGAGGAGAAATTGTGATTGATTTTTCTCACAGAATGGCTCCTTAACAAAGGAAAATAGGATCCCAAATTTTTGAGGATGTAAGCCTATACATCATAGAAAGACTAAAATTTCATCTCCAATTTAATTGGTAGTATTTAGCAGATTAAACTTGACAGATATTTACAAGAGAGCTTTCAAAAACTGTTTATTTCACATATCTCTGCAAAAAGAAATGTTTCTGAGATTTCCTATCAGGCATCTACTTTCTAAAACACAAAAGAAACTTTTACAAGTCAATCTTTCTAAAATTATCTTTGAAGTTCTGGAACAAAGCTCAGCTGGATCTCTCTTTGCTTTTGTCTCAGTGGTAGATCAGAAGATTTGAGATTGAAGGGCTTTTTCAATTATACAATAAGCAGCAGGTTTCCATTAAAGCACAAAGTCCGTCATCTAAATATATGCTAGGTGTTTTTATAAATAATTGTAACATATAAAACCTTGACTGATTCATTTATTTCTGATACGTGTTCTGTGATTCTACAGTCTAATATTAAATATATCTATTCTCCAAATCCTTTCCTGAGTTTATAATGAACTTAAGGCCATTATTACAATGTTTTTTAACACTTCTTGGTAGTTTCCATGACTGTCATGTATTGGCACCTGATAGATCCAGGGTTTTAGTGTTGATTGGGTAGTATGACATTTGTGCAAAGATATGGATCACCATTAGCATTGTTCAAGGAAATCACAGCTGGACAGTAATTAAAGCATTAAAAATATATTTTATTCAGGACCTATTGCAATAGGGGAAAAAGACCTCAGTTTAGAACTGCTCTCAATTCCAAATGCAGCAGGGACAAATGGGGATTTATACCCAAGGTGTAGGGTAGGATTCAGCATGGGAAATTACTAAAAAGAAAACAACAGGAGTAATGGGGATTCTGGTTAATCAGATTTAACAGAATACTTCCTGAAGGTAGGCCAGGGAATGTTGGGGAACAAGCCTTGTGGGTGATCAAATATCTAATGTGGGGAATTCACTTAAAACTGACTTAGCAGGATTTTTGCTAAAATTGGGTGAAGCAAAGATGAACACACAAGCTAAAAATCAAGACCTAGTTTAGAGGAAGTTTCAGTGGAGCCTGACTCAAGTTTAGTCAAGGAGAACATTTGTCAGTGTGATACCAAAATGAAGGAGAAGGTGAAGGCCATTCTAAGCCAGAGGATAAGGCATACTTGTGGAAGAAAGTACTTCAGTAAGTCTGAGAACACAGAGTAGCTGTTTGGGTAGTGATATAACTCCAGACTGAAAAGGTTTGATGGGCACCTGCTAGCATGACACATTAATGACTGTGGTCTTTATCCTAATAGTTGCTGACATATGAATGACGTAACTATTTTTAAAGTGATGATTCTAGAACCATCATGAAAGTTCTAGTGGAATGGAAAGAAAATAGCTACAGAGAAGTCAGTTTTCTGTCTATTGCAATAGAGACTTTCAAGAGAATATAAGATTCTGAACTAGAACAATGTCAGAAAGAATCAAGACTTATTTGAAAGCTATTTTGGAGGCCAAACACAAAACTTATGTTGACCAGATGAAGGACATGAGAGGGGAAGTGTCCAAAGACATCTTTAAGATTTTAGCCTAAATAATTGACTGTCAAAGAATGGATGGTGAGGCTGTTCATCACGTTAGTTGTATATCTCTTTGTTTTGAGCAGGGTGGAGTGGGGATGTCTTCATTTTATTTTTAAATTTACTGAGTCCGAGCTATCTTTGAAATTTAGTGGATGGACTAGTCAAGCCAGTTGTTTATTATGGGATGGGGCATCTGAGCTCTGTGACAGCAAACCAGCTGGGGACTCAAAGAAAAGGAGACTGCTATTTTAAAACCCATGAAAAACATTTTCCAAATTCTCTTGATTTCTACCTAATAAACATGCTGCTTTCAGTTTGTTTACCTGAAATATGCTCTCTGTAAGGTATATTGATTTGCATTTCAAAAACTTGCCCTCAACTATCAAACTGAATAGTACTTTCATCTGGGGGCTTCCTTTTGTCAGTGCAAAGACAGGAGGAAAACAGTGTTAAAATGTAAACAGAAATTCTGTTTCACTGGCTCAGGTTCCATTTCCTTTTATTTCTCAGCAGTGTTAGACTGGTGCGTTGTACAGGTTTGTTGAATTTAACTGTGTTCCCTGCTCTGAACATTAGCTGAAGAATGTACACACTGTCAAAGAGAAGCAGAGCCAAACAGTAAAGTGGTAAAAGTATATTTTTTTCAGGAACTATTTGAATAAAGGAAAAGAGAACTCATTGTGAAACTGGACCCAGTTCCAAATACAAGGGGAAAGTGGGGATTTATAGGCAAGGAGTAGGAGTGGGTACTATTGGATGGAAAATTAGGAGGAGGAAACATCAAGAGTAGGGAGAATGCTTCTTGAATGAACTTGAAAGGACTCTTGCTGAAAACAGGCCACTATTATCATACACCAAGAGTTGCCCCAGTACATTTAATTACATTTTTAAAAGATTGGAAGATAAGGAATTTAATCTGATATTGAGAGTGATCAGATATCAAGGATGGGAAAGTTTCAACTAATCTGAGCAGGATTCTTGCTACAACCAAGGTATATAGGCATAGCAAGGACAGGGCCAAGGTCAATGCCTAGTTGAGAAGAGGACTCAGAGGAGTGTGACTCATCTTTGGTCAAGGATAGAGTTCTCTCTCTCTCTCTCTCTCTCTTTTTCAGACATATACCACACAGAGAAAAAAAGGGAGAGACATATTATACACTATTTTTCCCCAAGTTTGTGCCTTTATTTCAGAATGCCCTTATCTCCTAGTAATTAGCAATAAAAATATACACAAGGAAACTTTACAAGAGGAACATGGAAAATGTTCATGTTCCAATAAAAAAACAATAAAAATTAAAAATAAAAACCCAAGGTTATTTGCCTAAATAACATGGATTAGGCAAAATAAAAGTGACAGATACTTTCAACTGTGAAAGGGTAAGGATAAAAACATATAATATTTTATTACCAATAAAGACCTCAAAGACTATCTTTTTATTTTGAAGATGAGGAAGTTAAGTACCAGGGAATGTATAGGACCTTTAGTAAAATGATCTACCCAACCAATACCAACTATTTAACTAGAATAAGCAAAGATCCTACCTCTAGTTTACATTGCCATTATACCAAGAGCCTTCTTATTTTTACTTCAATATGGTTTTTATTAAAATACACTTAAAATGTGAACATATTTATTCCAGAGAATTATCTGGCATTATTTTTCACTCTAGATACATGTTTTTCCTCTAGAGCCTTTTCTTATTATCATCATGTTGTGGTTCATGTTGTGTAATTAGTTACTCACAAAAATAAGTCACTCATTAGAACCTATTAAAAGACAGATGGGGTACATTTGTGACTATCTTATTGAAAAATTGGTGGATTTTTATTAAATTGAATTTATTTTTTTTTCAGCAATGACAATGCAGTTTATTAGTCATCAGTTCCCTGATTACCATGACCCCACTATTGGTGAGTAAAAGCCTTTTTTCTCCTTTAGCTCAAATAAAGGCATTCTAAATAAGGGGCTTATAAATACTGTTGACATCTATGGAAAACAAGAAATGTCTTGTACACTATGACTCAGTACAAGCACACATTAATTCATAATATGTAAGCTACCACAATAATAGCTTCAAGAAACAATATTTGTCCTTCTTGCCATGGCCTCCCATATTTTCCATTTTATTCTATTTCTGGTTAATGATGGTTGGAATACATTAAGTTGATCTCGATTTCAGGGTCCAGTAATGGAGCTCTACTGCATAATGAAAAACTGTGTTCTGGAAAACATAACTGATGTGACTGTGTGTTCTCATTTGGTCATTTGCTCACTTTATCAGTGTCTGGATCTTGCAGTACAGAAGAAACCATGTTAATGGTACCTTTGGAAAGGACTCTAAGTATGGATATAATTTTGTTCATCATCCTCATTTTGTAGATGAGGAAACTGAGACCCAAAGATTCAAAATATTGTTAGAGGAAAAAAATCCAACCATGTTTCATTCTTCCATCAAATTTTCTTTTTTCACATCACTTGGGAACACATTTTCATCCTCAATCAAAACAGAAAAGATGTCTTTAAAACTGCTTTGCTCATTCAAAGAGCTACTTTAAAGAATCAGTTGAAAGTTTCCAAGCAGCATCTGTCATAGCTTTCTTTATCTAAAAACACATTGGCATTGAATAGATATAAAGCATTATATCATGGTCTAGAAAAACATAGCCTCTGGGCTCCTCATGTTTGTCTGCTTGTTTAGACTATGAGTTCCTTTGACTGCACCTCCTCCCTTACCCTTTTTATTTACTCAACCTGACTATGTCTTCCCTCACCTACTATGGGTATGATCCTCACCTAGCAATTTTAATTCAAGGTTCTACTATGAATATAAAATATCATTCCAGAAATAATTGTATCTCTTCCTGCAAATCTTTCAGGATATGTGTTTGAATATTACTACTGAAATTTAAAAACTGTACTCATTTTTAAATTTCCCATAATTCAGCAAGACCTCTTCATCGGTTAAACTGAATTAGTATGATTTAAATGCAGGCAATTAGTATGTTGTTAATCAAAAAGCACTTCCTCAAGGAGTTGAGTTTTGTATCTGAAGCAAAAATAATCACTTAAAATTATAGAAGTGATTAACTACAGTCCGTGTTTAATAATTCTCTAAATCCATTTCTTTAATATCTTGATTCTGGAATGTTGGTAACTTGTATAACCTTTTATGAGTTACAGAAGAGGAGAAATCTCTGGGCAGAAGCTCTGAATCTTTTATCTTTTATCTTGGAAAATTTTACTTTATAATATATCATTTGTGAAACCAAAAATCAGTCCATTATTTTCCATCATTATTTAAGCTTTATATGCACTGCTGTTTCAAATACCTGCCTTTTGCTCACTAGACTCTCATGTCTAATGGCTTGAGTAGGGCAATATGTGTGAATAAATCATAAATGGCTCCTTCAAAAGGAATAAAGGAGAAGAACATAATGATGACTCCTTTAGGTATCCATGAGGCACATCCATCATTTGAGATTCCATACTGACAAAGAGCTGAAGTCATACCTTTGTATGATTATAAATAAAATAGCCGTAGAAATTTGAAAACAGAGACACAGAGTCACTGATTACTTTGAATTCGATTTTTCCATCATTTCATTTCTTAGCGTCTCTAATGGAAATATTTGTTAGCAATTTTCCATTGGTATCCTGCTCCAGGAAGGTGAGATTCCCAAATAATTTACTTTCCCCCCATTCAAGCTATATAACTATAACTCAGTCTGGATGACTTAACAATCCCTCAAGGGGAAATTCATATTAGTATATTTTGAAAATCATACAAATTAGAGAAGAATACATCTATCAGAGATACTTATTTCCACATTTATAAAGTAAATGACCATTTTTCAATCCTTGTTCACATCTGTTTGTCATCCAACTGACTGAGGTTTTGAATAGTTTTTCTCTGAAATCTTTGAAAGATTTGTATGGCTTTATTTTCTTCCTATATTCAGCTTAAAATTATTTTTCTTTCAAATACACATCAATTCTGAAAACTTAGGTTAGAATTAGGCATATTATCTGCTACCAATGTTCTTCCTAAAGAAGTAATCATTCTTCTTATATACTGGCCACATTTTCAAAGTCAGTAACCAATATATCTAGCTTCCATAAATCCACAAAAAATAGCTATGAAAGAATATTGGAAGGTGTTGATTCTATTCTTCTATGTGAGAAAACCTCACTCAAAAATTAAGTTCCTTATAAAAGTATAAAATATGAATAAATTTAAGTTTTAATTTAATCTTTAAAATAGACTATCTCTAAGTATTAAACACTGTGGTAAGTACCCTTTGCTCTTTCTACAGTAAAATCATAAGGTAACTAATAAGAAAGGAACATTTTGACCAAAGGCCTTGATGTCTAACCTTTCATACTAATAAATGCACATGCCATTTTAATTAAAAATAAATCATTAGAGGTAAGCATTGCATGCAATTAAATCAACAAAAAGTTTAAATGCCTAATATTTACAAAGGAATCTGTTTATCTTCAAGAAATAAAAGATTCAAATAGCACAATTCAAGCCTTTGAGAGATTTTTATTTCACACAAAGATATTTACAATAGCATTGAAGACAGTTGTTATTATAAGAAAAGAGCAAAGTGCTAAGGTGTTTTCAAAGAATAGAGTTCAGTGACCCTCTCTTAAGTTGCATTTACTATGATTTAGGATCACAGCTTCCTACATGTTTTAAAAACCAAGAAACCCCTTCGCTCCAGTCTACAACTCAAGATCCTTTGGGGAAGATTTTCTGAGAAGTCTGGACTTAAAGACTTTTGAGAAAATGACCGAGGGCAGTTTGTTTTGATATGTTCTTTTAACCCAATTGTAACTTGCTTGAAATTTAAAATCTTACTGTATTAAATGTGAATTTAATATGAATTAAATATCATGTTAAGTTGTTGACTTCTTTTCTGCAATAGAATACTCTGTCCCTTTCACAAAAAAATCAACTATATGTGTGTGTGAGGGGGAAGTAAAGATTTGTCAGGGACTAGATCTTTGAAGATTAGGCAGGACCTGCTAGCAGGGGTGTCCACCCTGTGGCCTCTGGGGCACATGCAGTCCAGGACAGCTGTGAATGTGGCCCAAGGCAAAATCATAAGTTTACTTAAAACATTATGAGATTGTTTTGTGTGTGTGATTATGCAGCATAATGGATTTAATGTGTGGCCCAAGACAACTCTTCTTCCAGTGTGGTCCAGAGACGCCAAAAGGTTGGACACCCCTGACGTCTATAGCTACAGTCCTGTACTCTTCTCTGAGATGAAAATGAATATTTCAGAAAGCCTACTTAACTTTTATATTTAGGTAGCTCCAGGGCAGACAAAAGTAAACATGCCCCAACTTTAACTAATAATTGATTATCTTTAGTATATTTCCTTCAGGATTCTTTATGATGGTAAAGCCCTTCATGTACCAGAATCTCATGCCAGAAAACTGACAACTCCTTGCCGGTTTCAATTTCTACATTAAGTCATTCACTATTCTGTTGTTTCTACCTTCTACAGATATCTTGAACCTGTCCCCATCTCTCCATAACCTCTGCTGCCTTCTCATTCTTAGCCACCCACATTTTCAATTTGGACTAATTATTCTCATTGGTTTTAATGCAGAATCTAAAAGTATTTTTATAAGCACAAACTTGGAGTACTAAACAATTCTGAATGCTATCAATTATTTTTAGAATGAAGAATAAAACTCCAAGAATGGAGCCAGTATTCTCCTGGTCTTGCTAGGAGACCAGCAAGTTACTCTGCTCTTGCTTACACACTTGCCAGGCACGACCCCTTTCTGGTGCTTCATCTGCAACCACCTGTATTCAGATTCACAAACTAGCCAAACCCCTCTCTGCTTTAGAACATATTTGCTCATATTTGAACACAGAATATTCTTTACCCGTCTTCCCTGAATTTTGCTTGGTTAACTCATACTTTGGTCAAATTCCAGCTCTATACTTCTTTCTCAAAAAAGCTGCCTTTGTGAGTATTAAGCTAAGTGAAATAAGTCAGACAGAGAAAGAAAAATGGCATATGATTTCATTTATATGTGGAAGGTAAAAAACAAAACAAATAAACAAAATAGAAACAGACAACAGATTGATAGTTGTTAGAAGGGTGGGGGTTAAATAAGGTGATGATGTTAAGCAGTATAAATTGGTAGTTACAGAATTGTCACAAAGATGTAGATTACAGCCTAGGGAATACAGTCAGAATTATCATGAAAACAATTATCATGAAAACAATTATCAAGGGGCCAGGTGGACACTTGGAAGCATTTGGGGGCTGCTTTGTAAAGTACATGATTTTCTAATTACTTTGCTGTAAATCTGAAACTAATACAGAGTAACATTGAATATAAATTGTAATTGAAAACTAAAAATCAATCAATAAAAGAAACCCCTTTGACTCACCAAAATAAAATAAGTCCTTCTTTTATGCATTTTGTCAGAATGTTGAATACTTCCTTAGTATCATTTATTTCTATGTAAGAGATTTTAGTTAATTATCTGTTTAATGAAGGCATCATGAGGGTAGGAACCCCCAATATATTATTAACTAGCGTTTCCCCAGACCTGATGAGAATACTCAGCATATTATGGTAGCTCCTTTCAGATTGCTGGTCTGAGTGCCAGCCTGCAACCCAAAGGGTCACCTGTTTGATTTCCAGTCTAGGGCACATACCAGGGGTGCAACCAGGTCCCCAGTAGAGGGTGTGTGAGAGGCAACTACGCATTGATGTTTTTCTCCCTCTCTTTCTCCCTCCCTTCCCCTCTCTAAAAATAAATAAGTAAAATATTTTTTAAATAATTAAAAAATAGTGCTCAATAAATACTTGTTGAATAAAAACGGATGAACAGTACATTTCTAAGAAAATATTTATCATTTTTAGATTTTGCCAC